GAAAAACAATAAAGACGACACATAGAAGAGACATAGAAAACACATTCGGACTTCTACTTGACATGATAGAGAAAATTCATAAAATTTTCTTTTAATTTAAACTAAAATGAGCTTGTTAGATTGATATCAATTAGTACTCTCCACTAACACGCCCAATTAATGCCATCGGCCCCAAGTCACTCGTGTTGCACGCACTGGCTGCATGCTACATGCAGGCGGTGGTATATGTGTGTGTGCACGACTTGAAAAAACAAAATCGACTGACCTTAAATGGTTTTCAGGCGAGTAAAATATAGCTAAAGCGAAAATATAAAAACAGTAGCTGGTGAGTTACCCCTGCATTTTTGAAGTCCTCCCATACATACATGTTGAAACCGCTTTCCTTCTCATAGTCGCAACGGTCCAAACAAAGTCCGCAAACCGCATCATGCGCACACGAATAAATAAATAAATAAATGGGTAACTTACTAAAAACACACATACATAAAAAGTGAATAAAGAAATTGAATCAGAAAAGCATAACTAAAAAGGGAAGGATTTCAAAATGTCTCGATTTTAGCATGTATTTGCGGCAGCTTTACAACTGAGTGAACCCATAACCTACTAAACAGATGCTAAACCACATTCATTTACAAAACCATAAAATTGCTAGTGCTGCCCCTAATTAATCCACTAAGGGCATGTGCCACCAAAATCTCCAAGAAGAACAGTCATCTACTAAGCCAGCTCCTGTGCACATAAAAAAGGCGTCAAAAAACATAAATTTGTGCTAGTGAGAGACATACATATTTAGCTAATGATTTTAGGGAGAAACTTGCATGATTCCGAAAAACGTCGACGCTGGTGAGCAAAAAAAATGTGCACTGGGTTGCAGAGATAAAAACACCATATTATAATACAACAATGCCAGTGATGCATCCAGTTCAAGATATACTGATTCAAAACAAAAATCGTATTGAACATGCTACTGATTCATAGGGTTTCAGCAAAAAGAAACTTCGTTTGGGTTCCAGAAAAACATGCTACTGCTAGATCAATATTCATTCTCTTTGATTCCAGAAAAAAGAGAGATTTGAACATGCTACTGATTAATAGGGTTTCAGCCAAAAAATCTGACAAACAAATAAACATGCCCACTCCTAGTGATAGATTCAGTAACAGTCTTTATTGTTTATAGAGAAAACATTTCAAAAACAATGCTACTGATTAAAATTGGGTTCAATCAAAAATCTGAAAAAAAATAAACATGCCCACTCCCTAGTGATAGATTCAGTAATTATCTGTCTTGTTTCCAGTGATTAATAGGGTTTTAGCAAAATCTAAAATAAACAAAACAAGAGACTGAGCCACTCCATTCCACACAAAAAGAAAATCCTCAACCATGCTACCAATTTCACAAACATGCTACTGATTTCAGTAATAATCATCAACCATCCACAAACAAGTTTGGAGGAAAAATCATACAAAAACGAGGACACACTACATAGCACTACTTGAATAGAAAAAGTGGAGCGATTCTGAGAACGCGATAGAGCGGACGAGCTCGTTTGCTCCCGCTACGTGTGTCAATAGAACAAGCAAGCAGCGATACATGCACTAAATGCGGGCGTAGAAAATAGAAAACGATGCGTAGCTTCAAACAGTTCAATACGGTGACGCCTCAGTTTGTCATGATGATGCTGCCACGGCACAAGGTGCATATGTTCTGTTGGTAAGGAATCCGGCCCACGCCTACTGTATGATCTGCACTACTGTGCATCCCTGAAAGTAGATTGTAGTTAGAATTACAAACCATTTAGTTGTCATGTTTCATGAGATTAATAGCTATTGCGAATTGTACAGGGTTCATTGATCCCATTTCTGATAATTTGTAATTGTATCCCTACAGTTTAACAAGACCGTCCCTTGGACTGATTAGTTGGGAGGACAACCACAAGAAGATATGCTGCTGAAAAATCAACATGGAGTTCGAGTCAGCTCGATGTGCTGCAGTAATCTCAGCTGATCTATCTTGGGCCTCTCAATGGCGTTGCGCTCTGCAATATATGATATCCTA